AGACCTTAATGTTCACTCACCTTCTACACTCACCTTCTACTAAGGAAGTCCTTGGCAGCAAAGCTTTCCCTTCTAAGACACAAAGAAAAAAAAATCTGCTGTGAACTCTATGGATGCCAGGAAGGGCATCCATCCAGTAAACACTTAGATCCATTCAGTCATCCCAAATTAAGGGATTATAGAATCACAAAAAGGGAGTAATGGTTGTCTATACAAGCCAGACACCAATGTATGCATTCTTCTAATATATTGCTTTTTGTAAATAGAATAGAACAGAATTCTTTATTGGACACATGCGATTGGACACACAAGGAATTTGTCTTGGTGCATATGCTCTGAGTGTACATAAGGGAAAAGATACATTCAAGAGACAAAAATCATAAGATACAGCTCTTAATTGTCATAGGGCACAATAAGCAATCAAATAGGAAACTGTCAATAAAAATTGTTAGGATACAAGCAACAAAGTTACAGTCATACAGTCATAAGTGGGAGGAGATGGGTGGAAGGAAAGATGGGAGGATTAATAGTAATAGTAGTAATAATGCAGACTTAATAAATGGTTTGACAGTATTTGTTTTGCAGAGTGATGGCATTCCAGAAAAAACTGTACTTGTGTCCAGTTGTTCTGGTGTTCAGTCCTCTATAACATCGTTTTGAGTGTAGGAGTTGAAACTGTTTATGTCCGGGATGTGAGGGGTCTGTAAATATTTTCACAGCCCTCTTTTTGACTCATGCAGTATACAGGTCCTCGATTGAAAGCAGGTTGGTAATAATTGTTTTTTCTGCAGTCCTAATTACTCTCTGAAGTCTGTGTCTGTCTTGTTGTGTTGTAGAACCAAACCAGACAGTTATAGAGGTGCAGATGACAGACTCAATAATTCCTCTGTAGAACTGTATCAGCAACTCCTTGGGCAGTTTGAGATTTCTGAGTTGGAGCAGAAGAACATTTTTTGTTGTGCTTTTTTGATGACGTTTTTGATATTAGGTCTTGTGATATGATAGAACCTAGAAATTTGAAGGTCTCTACTATTGATACTGTATTATCTAGTATTGTAAGAGGTGGTAGGATGGGAGGGTTTCTCCTAAAATCTATCACCATTTCTATGGTTTTGAGTGTGTTCAGTTCCAGATTGTTCTGGTCACACCACCAGGCAAGTTGTACAACGTCCTGTCTGTATGCGGATTCATCATTGTTTCGAATGAGACCAATCATTGTTGTATCATCTGCAAGCTTCAGTATTTTAACACAGGGGTCCCCAACCACCGGTCCGCGGAACTAGTCTTACCGGGCCGCTGGTTGCTGGGCGCCGCCATCTTTTTTTGATAAAAAAGTGCTTCCGGTGAGCTTTTCCGGGTAGAAAGCTCACCGGAAGCACTTTTTCATCAAAAAAAGATGGCGGCGCCCAGCTGATGCCGCTACCGGGCCGTGGCAAAGAAAAGGTTGGGAATCACTGTTTTAACAGATGGATCGTTTGAGATGTAGTCATTGATATATAGGAAGAAGAGAAGTAGAGAAAGAACACAGCCTTGTGGGGTGTGTGCTAATTGTATCAGATGTGATTTTATCTTGCTTCAGCTGCTGCTTCCTGTCTGTTAGTAATGAATACTGTTTTGATAGTTATTCCTTAGATACAGATTTATAGTACATCAGAATATTGAGTTAATTATTCTTTGGTATCATCTACCAGAATTATTATTCTGGTAGATGATACCGTTAAACTAGGCACTATTCCTATTTTGCTAAAAATCCATATTTTTCACCAAATGATACTGTAGCCTACATTTTTGAGGTCCATTGAATTTTGTTATATTGTTTATGGGCTATCAGCAATCATTCCCATTGTGGTAATGAATTATTTTTTTAACCTTTCTTAAATAATCTTCTTAAAACCATTCTACTTGCATTAAGTGGGGGGTTTCAGTCCAAAGTGCTTTTATATATGTCCTTATTGATTAGAACTGTTATTTTTCATAATGATCCTGTAATGTAATGATAATGCAGTAATAGTCCATATCTAATGATTTCTTATCCAAGGACTAAACAAATTAATGTAATATAGTTAGTGTGAACTTCTAAGAGAATTGTTAAGCTAGAACATTTACATGTCCATTTTATTGCCCAAGTGGTAATAAAAGTGAACAGTTTTCATCCAACTATCAGGGAAATGCCTAATAATAAGTGGGCAAGATTCCTATTTTTTTTTAATTCAACCATTTGAATTTGGAACAATATATTTAAAAAGCTGCAAAAACTTGTTTAGCAGCTCCAGGGAACACAAAGAAATAAATAAATACATCTAAAACTGTCTGGAGAGCTCAGATACACGAAGAAAAGGAGCAACTTGCTTAAAATAAAAATGTAACAAAGGTAGCTTAGCTAGATTAGAAACAGCATTTGCTATTTAATTTTGAAATATACAGTAACAGTGGAAGGGTATCTAAAATTGTAGGACAAAAAATTGTACTGGCATTTTTAATTAGTTGCCTATTTCTTTGAACATTTATTTGTTTCCTTTTCCTTCTGTCAACATATCTTTATCTTTGATTTTAAAGGAAGTATTCTAATAACAGAAAATTGGCATTGGGAATTGTTTTATTGCTGATGTTATTTAGGCAGATAGAACTTTTTTAAAAATGTATTTCTCCACTTACCAGTTCTGCACTAATGTAGGTGACTTTTATTTGGAGGAACTGTCCAGTTTTGCTGCCAGTGGAGTCACATAATTCTACTCTATCATTTAGTTATTTATTTAATAAATTGAAACATTTCCCATCTTATGTACATGACTCTGAGCAATTAACAAAAACAGAATTAAATCAATAAGCAAATCATAACATAAATAGTGTAAACTAGCAGCCAAGAACATTCACAATATCCTACAATCAATAGAACTAGGAAATGGATTTCCTCTTATTATCAGGGCCCCAGGCTTAGTGGGATCTTACAATTTTCCTGGCCAACTTCTGTCCTTTTGAAATGATTCCAGTTGAATTCTGGAGCCCAACTTAACAAATAGAGTCTTGCATCTGGCAGTTTGTGGAGCAGTGCCTCTGAAGTCTCTGAAGATGATCATTCTTTTAGACCATTCTGAAACTAGAATGCTTTTGAAAGATTTAAAATCTCAGGTGTACTGAACGGTTGGTAGAAACAGTGCTACCTTGACAATAATTGTTCGTGAGATGGTGAATTCTGCCCTAATGACTTTGGAAAATCATGGAAGACTATATGATTTTATGACTTAAAACACTTGAAAACTACTTAAGATTAAGATAAAACTTATGATGTATAACTTATGATATTAGTTTTGTTTGTTAACTCAGGCTTCCAAGGTTAGAATTTATTCTCCAACCCAAAAATGTTAGCTTCAGTTATGTAAAAATTATGTGGAACTAGGTAGGCATTTGATCTGATTTAGCAGGGATATGCTTTATGCTTTGCATTACTTCATAATAAAATTCTATTTTGCCTGAGTTTCTATTTTTATGTTTGTATGTGGTTCATTCTATCTATCTATCTA